TTGCGGTGTGAGCGTTTGGCTTTGAGTATGTGTCGTCTCTCAGAAGAGTGGATTGAAGGGCTCAGTGAACTGGAGCTCAAGCGAGGGGCATCCAGCCTTGTTCTACAGCAAAACACGAGCAGATATCAGAGCAGTGTCCACCCCAACACATGCTTCCAGACCTTAACTCAAAACCAGAGCAACTCACTTTCTCAGAATGATGACAGCTCTCCTCTCCTTGATGTCCTGTGGGCGGATGCAGTGTGTGATGTCATCGGCTGCATAGCCACTAAAACCAACCAAAGCAGTAAGCATGAGCTCAGTATTTTACTACAGTTTAGCACAATTACAAAAAAGTACAAAATAATATGTTTTTAGGACATAGTTCATAATGAAAAGCTAATAATTCATAAAAAAAAAATAATAAAATACTTATTAAAAAGGATCAAAAATATTTTACTTGTGTTCCAGCATGTCATGTTACAAAGAACTAACACCACAGGACAGTAAACATGCAAATGTGTTATTGAAATATTAATTTAAAATCTTGGGGTACTTCAAGTAAATATTTTAGGTAAAAGGGCTTCAGCTGACAATAAAATAAAATAAATAAATAATAAATTGGGAGTTCCTACATGTATTTACCAGAATGGCAACGCCCTTACAAAAAATATTGTGTCAGTATCATGGTACAGTGATGGTAATGGTACAACATTTTGAAATATACCATGGTACTGAAATTTAAAGGGGTCATATGATGCGATTTCAATTTTTCCTTTCTCTTTGGAGTGTTACAAGCTCTTGGTGCATAAAGAAGATCTGTAAAGTTGCAAAGACTAAAGTCTCAAATCCAAAGAGATATTCTTTATCAAAGTTAAGAGTCAGCCACGCCTACCTAAAACGGCTCGTTCTAACACACCCCACATGTCTACGTCACGATGTGAGAAGATTTGCATAACGCCGCCCAAACGTTCACGCAAAGAAAGAAGGCGTAACTTAAAAATATTTGGCTGCACAACTGTTGATAATTCTAATAATAAATCAGCATATTAGAATGATTTCTGAAGATCAGCTGCCTCTGCTCACTCTAGCCCGCCGGCCGTTCCTCACTTTATCCCCCGGCCTCTGCTCACTCTAGGCCACCGTGTGTGACGCTGTGTTTCGTTGTGAAAGCTAAACTACTTTGTTTGGTCTTCCAAAAATGGACACGACTAGGAATCAGTGGTTAAGTTGTATTTACAACACTGTTCCAGAACAGTTTAACCCAAATATTCAGATGTGTGCAGCTCATTTTATGGAGGACTGTTTCCTGATCCTGGTAGAGTAGACTACAATGCCGGCTGTTCTGACTCACAGATTGTAAGTACGTTTTTTATATTTAAAGAGTTTTTATATTTTATATTTTTTATATTTAAAGCGAGTTTTTTGGGCAGTGTAGAGTAGCACTTGTTGTTTGTGATTTCTCTGATCACAAATGCAGACAGGGTTTTATGTTTACGCGGCGCGATGCAACGCTTAAAAAGACAGTATAAGTCATTATAATCCATAATTATGTCCCCAGTGGATGCAACAAATGCCTCGTTTATAATGGGTTTTCATGTTTATGTCTCGTCGCTCCGGCCGGACAGGGCATCATCAGAATATGGTAAGGAGCCTAACATTTCCGTCACAGGCTTGAGGTATTCGGCCAATCACAACACACTGGATAGCTGGCCAATCAGAGCACACCTCGCTTTTCAGACCGATGAGCTTTGTAAAAATCGACGCGTTTCAGAAAGGCGGGGCATAGAGGAGAAACAATAATGTACAGTATGTGGAAAATAATGTGTTTTTTGAACCTTAAACCACATAAACACATTTCACTACACCAAATACACAAAATAATGTTCTTTTTAGCAACATCATATGACCCCTTTAAATACAATGCTATTTGCATGATATTTCCAAGATCATGGTAAGAACATAGCAGGATTACATTTAACTAAAACTATACAACATTTTTCTTACTTACAATTAAGCGTTAACTGAAATAAAATAAATAAATAAATATTACATTTTAAACTTATTTCAGCTACTTTCCAAGGGAGCATTTCTTATATTCATTTAGTTCACCAAAATAACTCAAACTGAAATAAAAATAATAATGAAAAACTATATAGATAGATATATTTAAAAAATAAAAACTAATAAAATTTACAACAAAATTACTACAACTTTAAAATAAAAACTGAAAATATAAAAGTAGAAATGAATTCAAACTATGGATAACATCTATAATAGTATCTCAATGATACTAAAATAACATTGGACCATACCATGTAAAATAATATGGTTATCACGATGGTACCTTACTATAGTACTTTTTTGTTACACAGTACCATAGCATAAATCAAAGTATTATGGTAATACAACAGCACATATAATTGAACTTGCAAAACTGTACCAAAACGTACCATGTTACTATCGTGGTATTTTGGACATGCACCATAGTAGTACCATAGTACATTTCAAAATACCATAGTATTACTAGTTACTACTGTACTATGGTACTGCCACTGTACTTTTTCGTATGGATATATACATGGTGTTTCAAAGAATCGCATAATAATAGCATGTTCTGGAAATTACTAGTAGTGTCCGGACTAGTAACGTTACCGACCTGAGGATGGTGACGCTGCCGCGCCCCACGGGCAGGTAGAGCACGGGCTCGGACACGCGGATGGGCTTGAACTGGAACTTGCATCCGAAACAGAGCGCGCTATCGCTGAAGAACGACACGGACACTATCGGTCGCTCAAAGATATGGATGGGGTCCACGTGGGACACGATGCAGCCCCCGGGCTGGTAGTCATTGATCACGGCGCTATTAACGAAGCCCTCCGGTATGACGCCGTGCGTCACGAGGCGATCGATGACCAGCTCGTGCACCCAGTCCGGGATCTCGTCCACCTCGCCTTTGGAGTACAGCCGCTCCTGCCCGGGCCCGCGCTTCTCAAGCTGCGAGCCGTACGTGTAGCCCTCACCAAAAAAGTACTTGTTCCGCAGAGGCGCCCGGTCCACCGTGTGCTCCCGGTAGAGCCCCTTGTCTCCCTTGGCAACCACCTCGTCTATCTTCGCCTCGATGCGCGCGCACTCCTCCTGCGTGAAGATATTCGCTTGCTTAATGCTACTTTTCACTTTGAGCGCCTCCGCGTCCCGCCGCTCCTCGTACTCGCTCTCGTCGTCATCCGAAGCTCCTCGTACTCGCTCTCGTCGTCATCCGAATCGCGGTGTTTGCGCTTCTCGCCGTCGCTGTTCTCGATAACTTTGTCCCTGTGCGGTGTCATCGACTTCAGCTTCTCCCGCAGATCTGTAAAACTGGCCATTTTCAAGAGCAAAGTCCAAAAAATTGCGGCAAAATGTTGTTTAACCTGAATTCACTTCAGGTCCCCATGTTATAATGTTAGTGTCGGTCACTGAAGTGCGCGACGTGACCGAAGGCCTGCAGCGGTGCCGCCTGCTTCCTCTTCCCCCGTTTAGCAAACTACACCAACCAAAGTTTCCACTGCCCCGTTCCACGAGCAACCCGACTGAATCTGTAACCCAAAGCAGTGAGTCAGCTGTCAATCACAGGCGGCGTTTCTCTGCAGTCCAGTCTCATAACATTAGCACGTAGCACAGCTACGCTACCACTAGCCTTCAGTGGACACAGGCTTACAGCTGCATGTTGTTTAAAACGCACGCCTTCTGGTCTCTGCAACCGCCGGGCTGATCCGCCTAGTTTAATATATCCAAGAAATAGTAATTATTATGCTGCTGCAAGACTGCACAGAGCCGTGGAAAGAACACAAACTCGTGGAACCACAACTGTTTGGCGAACTGCGCAATGCGCATGCGCATCATACCTTGCGCTTAGGCTTATGGGCATGAGGTTCTGGTCCAGTGACAGCCAATAAGCGAAGCGATCAGCTGTCAGCAAACCCCTGCAGCTATAAAAAGCAATTTTATGAAAGTATTGCGATATTTACGAATTATTTCGAATTTATTATGATTATTTAAACAATATTTTTTTTATAGGAACGAGAGTAGACAGGAAAGGACGGACTCAAACCTGCCTCATGATCTCAACCGCTCTTACATGGCCTGACATCATTATTGCGTTTTTATAATTATTTTGTAATATTCAGTAACAAAACGTTAAATATATCAACTAGAACTGCATTTAAATAGTACTTTCTTCTTAGAAATGTTTTAGGTCTACCCCTAATTGTTTATATTTTGTAAACAAATACATTTTAGTCAGGGTAAATGTCATGTTTATTTTTGTTTTGATTAACTACTCATTGTCATAAAAGGTTAGGTAACAATAATTGATGTGCAAAGTTTGCAAGCCAGTTAAATAATTTACAATAGATCATGATGCTCCATGCTCAAATGTGAAGGGGTTTCTTGGTAGTCTCATATAGACAATTACAGGACAATGTTTCAACATAGGTTTCAGTCAATAAATTTATTAAGAAAACTCTTGAAAAAAAAAAATACAAATATGATGACCATTAGGATTCATTTGTTAACTACTAGCTAAATATAAAAGTTTTACTGTGAAAAAATGTTGTTATATTACTTCGAAAACCACCATTTCATTGTCAGTCTGCATGTGTGAACGAATGTGAGTGAAAAAAGAGATTACATTCATGCTGTTCTCCTGAGTAACATTTCTCTACTTGTATGTGCATGTGGTAGAAGTTTAATATAAAAACATTAAAAACACTACTTCCACATCTACAGTACCAAAGGACAATTTTGCATAATAGTGATCCATCTTTATAAATATTATGCATTCAATACAAAAATAATGCTTTTTATTCATTGTGTCTTCTATACATATGTGAATAAATGCACGATTAGTGCAAACATTGCATTAAGAGGTTTGGTTTAGTTGTGATGAGACCAGTAATCAGTAAATGGAAAATAACCAGATTATAGAGATTACACATACAGAAATCATAATATTTGTTTGTGTATATCTGTACATGGTTTTGTTACAGCATGGTGATTTCACTGGGTGGCAGCGTCAGCCTCTTCTCTCGGACAGAGAGCATATTCTCAATGTGCATGGCGATAACCCGACACAGCTCCAGACCCTACAAACAAATATGCTCATAAACCACGCATTCACACTTCTACACTGTTCTCATGGCGTTGAATGTGTGTTACCTGTTCCAGCTGTAACTGTGTGACTCTGTGGTTGGTTAAATCCCCTATTAGGATGTCTACATAAGGGTAACTGGATCCAGCGCTGGGCCGCTGTGTGAGAGCTGACTGAATCAGCTTCAGCTGGAACTTCATCTGCACCTCCTGCCAACAGAAAATCAAT